AAAAAACAAACTTCCAAATTTAACTCGTGCATAATACCTTTTGCTTGGATCTTAGTTCTTACAGGAACGATCTTAAGCGAATCTCTTGGCAGCATCTCTTGTTTGATATATGCTGGGTACGAATATGACAATTTACGCTCATTTACTGCCTTGATTCACTCAGAATCATCCTTATCCAAAAAATGGAGGTCAAAAATTAATTATGACTGTGGTAAACTAAATGCTAATCTCTCTGAAGATATTGCCACGTTCTTATTCTAAGAATTTCATCATGACGAAACGGTGTTGATAGAAAAAAAGTGAGGGTACAATTAATAGTAAAAAGATCGAAATTCATGTCAAAGCTAAGTGACATCAAGTCAACCTTTTCCTTATGGCTTTAAATTAAGCCATTTGGTTCTACAATATCATCCTATTCCGCACATATTGCATTCATGGTCTCTTTGTAGCATCGTAGCACTTTCCTGGACATTTCTTTTACAGTTGACCTTATTATCTCAAAATCTCATAGACCCACTTAGCCGACTGATTGTATTAGTTCGAGTGGATGAGAAGAAAAATAAAAACACAGAGAGAAGAGGCCATTTGCGCAACCACTCTCGCCCGGCTCTGGCAGCCAATACGGATATGATCTTTGCGACGTACTGCCGGCGGTATACTTTCGTGAGTCCCACACATTTATCATAACTCATATGAACGCTTTGATGTGGCTGTGTGTTTTACGTCCTTGTCTGTCAAAGAGCCGTTCATATTAAAGAGGAAAACATTAAGACTACATTTGCTAAATTCGGATTTGTAAAATTTCTTGATTCGAAACGTCAGAAAACTGAAGAAGAGAAAATTCAATCTACCTTTTTTGCGCTTAGCTTCCTAAAAAACAAGATGCATTCGTATGTTAGAAATTAGATAATATAGTTCGTCACTAATGATATATCCAAATAAACGGAAGTAATCATGTATTCCCTCAAAACCCTCTTTTCAAAATTCCGTATTATCCAAGTGAACGCGGGGTATATAGTGTAAGTCAATGATGGCTGCGGAAACAGTGCTGCAAGTGATTCTGATATATCATTATTGAAACCTTATCTAGCTCCTCTACACCGAACCGAAAGAGCTTTGCGAACTGAAGTCTTCTGCGGTCACGAACAAAGGAGTATTGCTCAAGGATGAGCTTGCTGTCAGATCATTAAGTGATATTGAGGAAAAAGAGGAGAGTGCGGAGCATAATTCGAAAGAAATGATGTCAAAAATGACAAAATGGAAGACATGCTTGTCGTTAGCGCTGAGAATGAGGGAAAAAAGAGCGATTAGAATATTTAGCATACTCAAAAAGTGAAACAACCACAGCACATGTGCAGGGAAGTTTTCCGTCGAATACTAACCGTGCAAGCACAAGGTCATATTCAATTAAAACTGCTTAAAAAATATTTTAGAAAGATCATTTTGGGTATCCTTGCTTTAGAAGCGGAAGCACAGAAGGTTGACACTACGAAACTGGAACTGTCGATCGAAAATCGCATGCGCACTAAAGATTGGGTGCCATTCATTCAGCAGGTTTTTAAAGAAAGTTCAATTAAAATGCTTATGTACAAACATAAAAATTTGATTTATTGCTTATACAAATACTGCGAGGTTCCGCTTATCGTTGGAGCCTGGAATTAAGAAAAAGCCTATATAGTCGTGTGCGCCGGTTGAGGAAAACCTTGCGGATTGTGAGAACTCGCAGCATGGCTTCTCAACTTCTGGCAGTCCAAGAACAAATCGAGCATGCCAGCGTACATACACAGATGGTTATTTTGCTGATGAATAAAGTTTTTCAAATATGTATATATCCCGTGTACTTCGGTTAGGTGATTCGGAGCCGGCCTTTTGGAAGTGCACCACGTCCTTGCCACTGCTATGGGCATGGTATGGAGAGGCGTGATCACAATGTGAGGGATAAAGGAACTCAGGTACCCGTGATAGTGGTACAGATACATCGCTGTGAATAGCTCTGCCTATTAGCAGACCATTCTCGGCGTATTGCTAAAGAAGGCTACAAACGTGGAAGATTTACGTTGCGAGGTCCCTCCTCCAAGCCGTGCAACCTCGGCACTTTGCCAGAAGTGTTACAATTTGTCTAAATCAGTTAAATTTAGTGTCAATTGATAGAAAAAGCTTGCAAGATGACTATATAAAGCATTGAAGGTTAATGAAATTTTTGGTTTAAGGTACTTTTGCAAACAAAGTCATTTTTTAAGATTTTGAATTATTCTAAAATACTATGTTCAGAATCAGAAGGTACAGATAATCTACATGGAGAATCAGTCACAATGGCTAAAAATTACAAGAAGCAAAATTTCTCTTGCAGTATGAATTAAACAAAACAATGTCAATTGAATTTGTTTCACTTCCTCCCCGAATATTGACAGCTGAAAAAGGGAAAAGATAGGCATAGATCTTCCAAGTCCGACTGCTTATTAATCTTGGCATTATGATGGTAACTCTTTCATATTATGCTGAGCTTGCACCAAGATGTTAAAACTTCTTTATTCAACGTCAACGTCATGACTCAAGATAATGTTCAATTGGAAAATACGAACCAAAGAACCAACCCGAGTCACGCATAGCTACACTCACCTTAGAGAAGCACAAGTTGGGGGTATAGAAGACCGCCCATTATGCAATGCTATACCTCTCCCTCCTTTTATAGTGCTCAGG